CCCCATAGAGTTCTTGCAGCAGAAGGAGCAGCCAGTGTACAGATACCCTGCTGCTTCAAGAGCAAGAACATGTGGTGGCAGCAGCAGTAGTACAGATGAGGACTGCTTTAGAGTTCCTGGCATGAGTAAGACTTCTGTGCCCCACTCCCCCCTGCTCTGCTTTTGGCACCCATGCATGCCCCCTCCACCTCTTGAAGCCCGTCTCCTCCATGCGCCTGCAGGTGGGCTGCTGCTGCCTCAGCATGAGCTCCCTGACCACTATGGCAGCAGAAATGCAGGTCTTCAGGAGGCTCCCATTCTGACACTTGTCCACACCTAGGGTGCTGACAGACATGCAGCTCCCCACTGTAACTCATGGAGCTTTCTGTGAAGTGCCAAGAGTTAGTGACCCCACCCAACCCAGCAAATGTCTGTTGGGTTGGGGGAAGTGGGGGATTGTGCTTCACTTTGGAGTTGATCCAGGAGGAGATGCGTGTCTGCAGCCTCTCTCCCCTAGCCCCATCCCCTCCCAGCTCTGGTGCTGTCTGCAGAATGGGAAGGGGAAGAAGCAGGGGAGGGAGCTCTAGGCTGGGGTTTGCTGGCAAAGGGCTTCAATCCACCTGTTCCCTCTCTAGCATAGGCTGGGCAAACCCCAGTCCAGAGCTCCCTGCCCTTTTTCTCCCCCCTTCCATCCTGCAGACAGTAACTAGGAGTAGAGCTGTGCTGCATCAGCCCTGATCAGATGTAAGTTAATGAAGGCACTGTGCTTTGGAGTGCCTTCATCTGAACCCTCATTAAATGAGGGTTAATGTGTCATGTGATCAGTTATTTTTAAAGTGCTCTGCAGCCATGCTTTTCTGTCAGAGCACAGCTGTAGAGCACTTTCAAGGGGCTACTCATGTGGCAAATGTCACTTCTGCCAGTGCTCCTAGTTGGACTACTACCATGAATGTTTAGATGCTGTGAGATGCTGTAAGTGACAATTCCTCCTCCAAATCTGAAAGGCAAGAGTGAAACAAGGTGAAGGAGAAGGTCTCACAGAGATAAGAGGATTCTTTTCTTTACCTTTTGTCAAAGCACAAAACCAGTAAGATAGGCAGTGAACTGCAAGGGCAGATAATTTGTAGAATCATTTAGAGGCAATGAGTGATATGTGATTCACAAGTGACTAGTAATATGTTAAGCTTGGGGATGTGTAGAAAGATTAGAAATCTATATGGACAGCAGGAAATCACTCTGAACACCATTTTTAAAAAAAGCGTGAAAAGCTGGCTCATTTCAGGGAATAAACCAACCATTGACTGAAGCAGGTCAGGAGGAAACTTCCATTATGAGTTGTTTATCCTGTAATATTCTGTAACTGTCTGTTTTCTCTTGCCCATCCTGGTTATGGCAGTTGGTGAAAACAGGATGCTGGATGATAGTGACATCTGGTCTGACCCAGTATAGCAAATCCTATGTTCCTAACTTAGCTGTCCATTAAATTGCTCACAAAGGGAGAATTTGATGGCACTTCCAGATAAGTGTTCTTTATAGTGATATGCTTACTGTGGTATAGATTAAAATGAAAATAAGTGCAACTGAGCTGGACAAAAAAATGTTGGAAAGTTTTGGTTTTATTTTTTTTTTTTGCATCAGAAAATGCTGTTTTGTTGAAAGAGAAATGTTTCCTGTGTTCATTTAAGGTCTGTCAACTCCCTGCCACTGCTGTAATTGCAGTACAATGTAGATATCATACAAACTAGCCTACACATGAACTAGCTCAGGTACTGACTGCAGTCTAGCCATGGCAACATGGGGCTCAACAGAACTATTCTTAATGTTTTTCAGATAAATAATCTTATTTTTGCTGCCTGCACTAAGTGCAATATTGAGCTCCATGCTGCTGAGCTTAGGCTGCTAGTGGTACTTGAGCTAACTAGGCCAAAGCTAGCTCAGGCATGTTGATGCTGTATGCTGCAGTGACTGAAATACAGACGCGCCCTGAGATAAAATTTTGTATAGGAATGAACAGGAAAAAATATTGATGTAAGATATTTCTGATACAGTCTTGACATGTTGTTTCAATGTTTTGTTTCTTCGGGTAATGTAAGATTAAAATCAATTACAGTCCAATAAAATATTTTTATTTTATCAAAATGAAATGTTCCAGTCAACCAGAAGTTTAAAAAATAATTGCATTTGATATTTTTATAATTTCAATTCATCATAACTGTGTTTCTGTTTCATTTTGGAATAGGGAGAAAAGCAAAATTATAGGATTTTCCACAAAATGGAAAATGTAGTTCCAAGCTCAAACTGTAATTTCTAGGATGGCCCCATTACAGAAAACACAAATCAGAATCTCTGAATAAGTGGTATTGCTTTTTTTTTACACTAAACTTTATTTTTATGAACAGGAATAATAGCCCAGGAGGTAAAAGAACTTTTGCCTCAAGCAGTAAGAGAAGTTGGAGATATTACATGTGAAAATGGTGAAAAACTAGAGAATTTCCTCATGGTTGATAAGGTATGTTGTTACCAGGTGTATTATTTTTTTATTGCCACTCCATTTTTATGATGCATAAGTGCACATGGCATTTATGAAAGTTTACAATTCTTAACATTTTTGAAAAATGTCACTATACATGAATCCTTTTTTAACCCAAAATTGCACATGTGGGTTTTGAAATTCATAACTCATTTGCTCTTTTCTTTTGAAGGAAGAAAGGTCTCTTCTTGAATCACATTCTGCCTTGAGTAGCTATAGTGATAATCCTGGCTATTTAGTAAATTAACTTCACACTATTTTTCCCCCCAAGATGCCTAGGAGGTAACCAACAAATATTCCTTTCCCTTTACCTATACCATTAGAACATATTGTTGAAACATTTTAAAGTCTTTTTGAGGAAAATAAACACTGAAACTACAACTAGGTAGTCATCCCATGGAAATATGTCTTTTATATCCTTTTCAATAGCTGTTTGTATTAGGCTTAGTCTTACACTCTGTAATTTTGCTCACAAAACTGCAAATGTGTCTGCAGCTCAGAGTATACCTATGGAGGCAGAACTCCTTTTGTGCTGTCAGGGCAGCTTCCCCAGACTAGGGACTGCCCGCTTTGAAGAACAGGTGTTGGGGGTGGGAAGGTGTTTCTCTGCTGCTTGCCTCCCCTTCTTGAACAATGTGTCAAAACTCTGTACTTATTTGCCAGGCCTAGGTCCGCAGTCTGAGGAGCAGGCAGTGGTTTTGTCTGTCTGCTCCCTCTCCTGGTGACATTTAAAGGCCACGGGGCCAGGAGCTGTGGCAGAGAAAAAACTTCCTTGGCCCCAGTTCCTGGTCCACAGCCTTTAAATGCTACCCATGCCACCTAGCTGTTCATGGTCATAGTCCTTTCAGCAGCAGGTGACTCCCATAGGTGTACATCACTCCTAATACAGCTGCTGTCCTGGAATCATGCAAGCTGCTGGAAGCCGTGGGGATGTGAATGCACTTTGGGGACTGCTGCCTGGCTGTGCTGTGGTGGTCTCCAGGCTTGAACTCTAGTATCTGATTCAATTAAGTTCTTAAGTTCTTCTTAAGTCTAGTATCTTTTCAATTAAGGCCCCAGTTTTTGTGGACATTGAGGGCATGTCTGCATCACTTCTGAGGCATGCCTGGCAGTGCCACTATAAAGTACTGACCAGCACTCTTGCTCCTGCACCAGATCCCAGAAATGAGGCAACTAGGCTTTCTTACAATGACTGTGTGTGACAATTAACATAGCTGAGACTGAAACTAAAATCAGTGCTGGACACTTGGATTGTACTGGCTTGTTTACAGGAACTGTCATGTGTAGAGCAGAGTGGACAGGGCTTGCTTCATGACAGTAGATATATCACTAAGTCCTGACCTGCAGTTGATGCAAAGCCCCACTTTGGTCAGTTGGATTCTACATGGGCACAGGGATCTACCCATATGAAACTCATTTTAAGATGGGGATGGCGTTTGAGATGCGTGAATGTGTTGAACTTGCATTTGTGAATCTAAAGTTATTTTCTGTTGTGTTGGCTAATGCCAAGTCATTTATTTCTGAAGGCCCTGGGACAAACACAGTGGGGGGCCTAGACTATTATTGCCAGTCAGGCATATCTTAGTCAGTGAAGAGAGAGAAGTTTCAATACTGGGGCTCTAGCTATTAAGGTGTAAAGCTATCCAAGAGATTTCAAAGAGCAAAATTGTTTATTTGTGCATGCAAATTGCAATGCTTTAAAGTTAATGAGAGAGGAAAAAATGAATTCCCTTGTTCAGGTATATACTATATTGACTAATGGGTAAAGATATTCCTATTAAAATCACGATAGTAGTATTTTAGCAAAGCGTAAAATACATAGATGCTTAAAATGTAAATGTTGCCAAATATAATATGGATAGAGATTTCTTAAGACTGGCTGCTGTACCTGTAGTAATATAACTGGAGAAAGCTTTTCTTTTGAATCTCAGTAGTTAAATTAATTTAACACTAGAGAGAAGAATTGCATATTTGTGCACTTAACCTCACAAATAACAGATTTCTTATTCTATTTCTTGTATAACTACTTTACATAAGCTACAAAAAGATAATTCTGAGGGTTCTATATAAAATATCTATCTTAGATATAAGATATCTATCTTAGACCCTTATTTAAAAATTATGCCATATGAAATGTCTGTGGTACAGAGTCATCCACAAGCTCTGACAATGAAGATTGTGCCTTTATTTGCACTACAATTTTTATTTATTTATTGTCTTTTTCAAGTGGAGCAATAATATAAAAGTTGTATCTTGATAGGTCACTGAACAGTCACTCTTAAAGTTCAGCTGATCATCTTATCTTTTCTTTCTGCCAGTAGGCCAATATCACAAAAGCAGATAATACTCTTGGTCTCATTTTGCGGCAAGTGTTTATGGGATCATAAATAAAGAATATGGTTTTGATTTTCATAAGGCTGGAATTTCAACAAAACTTGATTTGATTGGAAAACTCAACCAAAGTAGTATGAAATTGGAAATGGGATGAGAGAGGTTATACAGTTATGCCAGTTACAATGGCTGGTTGGTTTTTGCTTTATCCCATATTCATTGTTATTATATTTTAACTGATTTTGCTGTATTCTACTGAAAGCCATCAGATGAAATATCTTTCACCAATATGGAATAGTCCATATCCTCCTGTATATAATCATATTTTATTAAGAAATAAGAAAATGATGAAATTAAGAAAACATTTTACAAGATAAACTTGCAAACAGGCTGTTTGGTATGCTGTGCTTGTGAAGTTCAGGCCAGGGAAAATCTTCCATATGGTGAACAAGCTGGCAAACTCAAGCCACTCAGTCAATAAATCATTCATGATTCAGTAACAGATTAGAGTATTTTCCATTATCCATTCCATTTGCCATTTAATTGGCAGAATAAGATTCCATCTGAACAAGTTTGGCGGCTGCTGCTGGGCAGGGGAGGCGATGAATATTACCTCTCTCCAGTGATGGAGTTCCATCTTGCTCAGTGGTGAAAATGAACCCAGGCCTTTCATGCCTACTGATTAAACTAAGGAAGGGGTGGAAGTTATACCTATCATTGAAAGGAATTAGTAATGGAGTTGCTCAAACTGTTGAAAATGATAACTATTTATGAGAGAGTGATTTCTAGGTACTTGTTCAAAAGCCATATTTTGGACTCAGTGACTTCAAAGGCATTTATTGTTGAAAACACATTTTTCTGATTTAAGAAAGGCGCTTACAAAGTGGCTACAACTTCATAAAAATCTCTTATTCAAGGAAGTTTCACTTGGATCCATCTCTGACTTCCTAGCCCCTTAGCAATCTGGTTTAGGAAAGATTGAAAATTATTTGGTAAAACAACTTTGGGAAACTGTATTTTTGACTAAATGAAATCATGGCTGCTTTTTGTTGAAAGTATCTTGGGGAGAATGGCCAGTTTTGTGGAAAATCTAAATGCTTTCTTAAAAAAAAAAAACAAATGGCCTGAAACAAAATTGCTTTCTTTTTCAAAGGGAAAAAAAGGTGCCTTGTATCCTCCATTCTTTGATAGTGGTTACCTTTATTCCTCAACTAAGTAGCCAGTCCATCCTGAAATTTTGATAGGGTATTTTATATTACAGTATAAAATGAAGATGTGGTTTTATCCTCATTGGGTCAATCTCCTTCAACCGTTGCTGCCTCCCTAATGCCTTCCCCTCCGCCACTCTACATTTCTCTTTCACTCTCTCCCCTCTGGTGTTGCTCTGTAATTGTCCCTCTGGGTCTCCCATATTCTCTAACTCTCTCTGCAAATTTCTTCTGAGTTTGAAAGTATTTTGTTTCAGTTTTCCCCCCTCTGTGTGTTCCTTTTCCCTAGTTCCTCCTCCCCTCCACTACACCCCTCTGGCCTTCATACTTTCTTGCTTGTTTTCCTCCTCACTCACTTTACCTCCATGGCATCTCCAATAAATTTTGTTCTTCCTTTCATCTGACACCCATAACGGTGTCCTCGGGCTTACTTTTCTTGTTCTGCCCTCTTCTAATTTCTGTTGCATTACCTTCTCCCATTCCAAAAATCCTTCTGACTTCTTACATCCCCTCTTACATCTCCATGGTCTATTTACTGCACTCTGGACCTAAGACTTCCCACTTAGGTACATATACTCCCTCTAGACAGCCTGTCCTCTCTCTCTTTTTCCCAATCTACAACTATGGCTTAAGGAATGATTCATATGTTTTCAATGTTTGTTCAAGTAAAAATAGTAAGGGTACCTCACCAGTAGCCATTGAAAACCTGCTTAATTGATACTCAGGATGTTCTCCACCTCTGGGAGTATGCACTGTAGAATCAAGTGCTCCAGGACTTGAAAACAGACAGCAGTGATTATCAGGCAGTAGCTTGACACATTGCTTAGATCTTATCCCAGTTTTGGGAGGCCAATGACTTTTGACATGCACCAGATCTTTGGCAGCTTTCCTTTGCATATTACCCTTGTAAAAAATTGAAACAACCAAGAATGAGCACATGGGCCAAGATGCTTCAGGAAGTCAGGGGAGATGTTGTCATAGGCTGGGGCAGCGTCAGACTTGATGCTGTTCAAAACCTTATTAAGTTCAAGAACTGTAAAGGGCTCTGGACAGGTTCTGGCCAAAGTCTGTATGACCAAGTACTTGCACTAAGAACATTCACTGAGAACAGTTTTCAAAGGAACCTCAAAACAGGCACTTTTTTCCTTGACCACACAGCAGTGTACAATGCTGTTTGGCACACTGGTCTGTTTGTAAAAATAGCAAGGGTCCTACCAGCATAGGTGACTGACATTGTCAAACTGCTCCTTTGCAAGAGATGGTTCAGGATGAACATGGGTGAGAAGACAAGCACTTGGAGAAGACAGACCAAAGGACTACCTCAGGGATTTGTCCTTGCTCTGACCTTGTACAACCTTTATACCAATGACCTGCCACAAACCCAGTCATAGAAATTAATTGGTGCTGATGATATCTGCTGTAGATTCCAGGCCCAGATTT